CCATCAACAATAAAACTTTCACTGGGTTATCGAATCTTCGAATTTTAAATTTAAATAACAACTATATCGCGACTTTAGAACCGTTTGCTTTAGTTGGAACGACACTGGAAATTTTTCGAGCAGATTTGTCTTCAAACAACCTGACTGAAATTGACATATCAAACTTAGTTTCAGAAAAATATATTTGTAAGTATGACTTTTCAAAAAACAATATTACAAAAATGGTCAATGATGCAAATTTCACATTAAACGGGGATACAACTTACAAATGTGGATTTATTGATTTGAATAATAACAATTTTGAAAGTTTCATCGACTTTGTTGATCTTGGTATCGATGACATAAGAACATTAGGTGACGTGATGGAGTGTGGGTTTTCTATGCAAGCTATGAAATGGAACTGCGACTGCCAAATGGAACCATTTTTGGAGCTAGCTGAAGACGTGATACCAAGACTTTGGCGCGATTACTTTAACCTCACTTGTTGGAATCCGCCTGAATACCGTAATATGTCGGTGCCGGGTTTTGCGACAAACAATAATCTTCACCTTTTGATTTGCAATATGTCGGAAAGTGAGGAAGAAAAATGTCCAAGATATTGCCATTGTTATGTTCAACCAAAGCTGAATAGAACGGTTGTTAACTGTACAAGTGTAGGATTAACAAAATTACCGTTCTATATGCCTGATAAAGAAAATCTGACTATTCTAATGGCTAATAACAGAATCGAAATTTTTGAAGAACGAGATTATTTAAACAGAACTCGTGTGATAGATATATCAAACAACTCCATCAGAATATTTACAGATGATGCAGTATCAAAGCTGAAAACTGACACTGTCTTTACTGTTAATAACAATAGCTTCAAAAAATTACCTAGGGAATTTCAAAAATTTGACCCTTGCAGTAAAGTGAGAATGGGACACGTTACACTTCATTGCGATTGTAAGGATATTTGGATACAAGACTGGGCGAGAAACAGAATCGCGAAAAAATGCAGCAATGTGACAGAGATTTTTTGCAAAACAAGGAATGGTCAGGTTTCTTGGATCCATTTGACCTGGAACGATATCTGTGGTTTTGAAAATTATGACCTTTTAAGAATTCTCTGTATATTATTTTCAATTGCACTTTTGGTAGCCGTGATTAGTTCAAGTGTCTTTTACACCTTCCGATTCGAACTATTCTTGATATTCAGAAAAGCCAGATCGCGTGGTCAGCGTCGCGTCAAACCTTGGCTGCAGTATGACGTACTTTTCTCTTTTAATGAAGAAAACGAAAAAGTAAGACAATGGGTTATGGAAATTTTAGAACCACAATTACAACTGGCCGGATATAAATCATTTTTGCCGTTACGGGACACAATTCCTGGTACATTGAAAGAAGATGAAATGATCTATAACATTAATAGTAGTAAGAACTATTTAGTTATTCTTTGTGATGACTACCTTGATGACCAATGGAAAGAAATGGAATGGAAATATATATGGCATAGTTTTCACAAGAACCTTGAGAGAAATATAGTTCTTGTTAATTTTGACCAACTTGAAACTACCGATATTGTTAATTACAGACTAAAGGCATTTCTGAGGCTAACGTTAGATATGGATTTTTCTGACAGGAATAATACTTTCCTTGTGGATATTCAGGATAAGTTAGGTCCGCCTATGTGTTATGGTCGTGTTTTAAGAAATGCTAAAACAAAGTATATAACGAAAACTGAACATGTAGAATTAAACATATGAAAGAGTTTACATTTGAGATTATTTTCTGTATTACTGTGTTATATTCCCTCTTAGCCATTTCGAGTTACTTGGCGTTTTGTGACGTAACATAAATATAATGGCTTTAATGTGTAAATTGTTTTCAAATATTTTACAGTGAGGAATTGCTGATTTTTTAGCTTCGAAAAATAAATTACATGTTCTTTATAATTATACTGCAAATTTATTGATTATCAGATTTGAAAAAGAAAATATGTTTGCAAGAAAATGTTCGAATACCAAATATTTTAATTATGTTGCAATATCAGGATTAACACTCTCAATATGCTAGGGAGAGTGAAATACAAACTTATCATTTGTAAATTCAAGTGGTAAAAAGGGTAGAGACCATGATGCTCTATTACTACACGATTCGCATCTAGGTAAAATAAAGCCATTCTAAAGAAAAAACAAACAAACAGAAGCTGGTACATTTATGGCTATGTGGCATATGCTTAACACCCTGATCTACACATATCAACAAGAAATCTGGTTTCAAATTTAGTCAGTGAATTTTGCGTATATATGCAGCGTCAATCAATCAGGATTTGCATATTGAGTATATCAGGAAGGTTTTATTTAGGAGAAGAGTGTACGAGGCGTAAATGGGATTTTTTTATTGTCTAATTCCTTTTTTTAGAGAAGTTGCATTTGTACACTTATAGATGTTGAGCTTAACCATTATCGATTGAAATAAGTCGTTACAAAACAAAAACTACATTCATGTGTCTTTACTACACGTACATGTATAATCTCTCCAGGTAACAGACGATGAAGTTCATTTTCTTATTGATTGTAATATCTAACCATCCTTTCTATTGTGAATTAATACTAACAAAAGTGTGATATATTACATGTTGATACGTTTGCTTGTATTGTTGTGTTGCTGTCTTATTGACGTAAACTACACATCTCTTGTTATTCGTACATTATAATCTGTCGATTTTAACATGATAGAAGCATCAGAACACAAGACTGTTGAGTATAAAGTAGTATTTGATCTCTTTTATTTCCCGTTAATAATGTTGGTTTGGGAGATGAAGTATACCGCTAACTGTGCAGATTTTTAATATTTTACTGTTATGAGTTTTGACAAAATTTTATTCAAAATCAAATAAACGTCTCTTTATAGATATTTAACAACAGTTACAAATATTTAGACGATATATTCTCTGTATATTAAGGCGACAATAGTTTACCGATGTTCAAATCTCGTAATTCGATTTAGGAAGAGACAAATAAGAATAACAAACAAAAACTGAGGAAATCGAATGAACTTCAACAAGAGCAACCTGGCGCGTCGACAGGGAAAGTGTCTCATTGCTATGGATGCATCGCCCCCCCCCCCCCCCCCCCTCCGCAATACGAATTCACAGTCAAGATGTCTTACTCGGGAATATGACACAATCGGTTAAAATACAGAGCAGTCTTATATCTAAAGATCACGAAAACATGTTACGACACATCGTATCGGTCAACCAATTCGCGATGGTGACCGTAAAATTTATGTAGTGTCAATTTAAGTCGTTCTTCCTCATAGCTCTGTTGGAGCAGCTCTTGTGTAGGTGCACATCCCTGTAAATGAAGTCCGTTTAGTGTAAACATACACGAGCGTAACGTATATTAACTGAGATATGTAAACACCATAAGATGGAATAAAGGGTATTTTACTGCTGAAAAATGGGAAGTTGACAATTTGAAAGTTCGCGAACTCGCTTGCTAGCCACAGTTTTTTTTAACCAATCTATTTTGACCAAGTTAGTACCGTTAATACAAAGAATTGTAATCACTGATGATATCAAGGAGTGGCATAGTAAGATTTACTATACAACACTATTTTTTTTTCATTTGCGCCAAAACAAAGATTTCATTTGCGCCAATTATTAATTTTTCATGTGCACCAATTTAATTTGAACAGGTAAGATCTGATACATTTTAGACTTTAAAAGAACAAACAACGGCCCTGAATCGTTTCACTCGCACTACAATAAACAGTTTTACTCACACCATCCGAATATTTACATTTTTATAGATGTCATAAAGAAAATCCAGGCAACAACGAATGTAAAGTTCAGATTGTTACTGTTTTATTAAAAAAGTCCTATTACACGTGTGATGAATATAGTTTTAGAAACGTTTACAATAAACTTATTCTGCTCGAAATCCCACTTCCACTCCCGTAGTGAGCGGGGGCAGATGGCAGACGGGAGGGGTACCGACTTTTGTTATTATTTTAAAGCCGGGTTTTTCAGGCTTTAACAATAAATAATTTCAGGCTAGGGTTATGTAACTTTTATTCAGACGATGTAAAGTAATATAATGGATATGTATAACAGGCTATCGCAATTATATAAATTCTGTACAACTTATATGTCTCATGTCTTGTGTTTACCTGTAAATTGGCCGGCCAAATGGGAAACAAATATTGGCGCAAATGAAGAAAAAAAAAATGGCGCAAATGTGAACTTAACAAAAAAAAAAAAAAAAAAAAAGAAAAAAAAAAAGACAAAGATGAATGGTAGTTGCCAAAGAAATCGATTGCCTCCCCCGTTTCCACTCCAAAGGAAATTAATTGAATAATAGATTAAACGTTAAATGTTTTCGGAGTCAATTGAAAAAAGTATTTGCATGACTTCTTTTTCGCTAATCGGGATTGAAAAATAGAAAAATATATATAAAATGTAAAATTTAACTAAATATGAGGGTCTGGATGGCGTCCATGATTTCTGTATTCTTTAATTTTTAGGGCATTTTTCTATATCTTTAAAAATAATGCTTATTCTGTAAAATTGTCACAAAAGGATTTGACTATTAGATATTTCTGTAATTAGATGATTTCTTTATTCTGTACATCGTACATTTCTGTAATCAGTATTTTATTACATAATTCTTTTATTTTCAACAGTTATTCTCTATTCTTTTGGACCCCGTTATTCCTTAAACTTCATGTTTATTGCTTATTTTTCTCTTTTCATATTTTTTTGGGCCATCATTTATTCTCTATTCTTTAAACCTCATCCAGACCCTCAAATATGTTAGAATAAAAAAAAATATCTTGTTTTACACTGAACATGTCGATCTGAAGGATCTGATATGAACTTTAAACAATACTATTATTTTAAAATGAATAAAACTCGTTGATAAGATATTATACTAGACAAAATATATTCTATGTAACGATCAGGTCCGTTTTCAGGACATTAGTCTAACCCTTATGAACATCCGGTGCATTTGTTCTTTCACTTTCGTTTTGATACTGGTCAGTCCACAGACATGTTTCTACAAAACTTTACTTTGTATTTGTCAGGATTTCTGGTAAATTACACCACAAGCTATGAAAATCACACAAACACACGCATGATGAAATGTCACAGACGTATTGCTTACTTTATTAAGGTCATGTATATTATTAGAGAGGATAAGAGTATTTGGATTAATGGCTACATGAAAGTTGCACTGTGTAATAATGTCCATCAGACGTGTCACCATACCATATCAAGATCAAGATACTTGTTGGACATATATCTTCATAATGACATCGAAACTGAATCACAAGTCTTCGATTCACAAGGGAAATGTTGTCTCCTGTGCTTGCTGTAGTTTAATATTAAAAAAAAATCACCTTCTGGTACATGTTGGGGGATATTTTTTTCAGGACTACAATGAAAGCTGAAGACAGCACCCTGTGTAAGAAAACTGTGCTCAATTTAGATATTATGGTCTATTTACTTCCATAAATGGTTAATGTACAGTATGTAATAAATGGTTAATGTACAGTATGTAATAATCCCTTTTTTGATTCTGTGTCCGGAGCGATTTTCTGATTGGCAGACCTCAGAATGCTTCACAGCAAAAAATTGAAATAGCCGAAGAGCTTTTCTGGAGTTACCTTCATCAGTAACGCTCAAAGCTAAATTATTATAAGCCAGGGATGTGTAAGTACTGAAACACGTAAAGAGCTACATGACAAAAAGGGACCCAAATATAATACCCGGGTAGCCAAAACCATTTAAGGATAACTTTGTCTGAGAAGTTTGAACCTTAGTTTCTTAATAATTTCTAAATTAATATTAATGATTAACAATGATTAAGGGAAAATTTTGTTTTATCCATTTCAATTGCACTTTAAAACAAGGATTTTTTATTCATTTATGCAGTCTTCCCGCTTAACCACAGGCCCAGCAGCCCAGGCTTGTAAAATTGCTTTCAGGCCTGTAAAAATCATCGCTACAGGCCAACAGAATCTAACTAAAATTTTCCAAAAATTGAGCTCTGGGCCTGTAGATATAAAAGTTTATCGTGAAGACTGTTTATGGAAGTTCATTGTGTAACAGTATGGCTGCTGTAATAATTCAAAAGGTAAATAACTATCTTAATAGAAAGCATTGGAAGTACTGACTCTTCTTAAATTAAAATGCTATTGAATTGATTGTACATACATTGTACATATCCCTAAATTATAGTCTTTATTATCAATTTCAGCTGTTTTGACAATACGCATTTAGGGTTTTGGGCCATTACAAAGGTTTTTGTCGGGTTTTGATGTTTTTTTTGGGGAATAATTGACCCTCGTTTAGGTAAACTACTACTTTTGATTACAAGAGTTTACTTTCATTTCTTCTCATGATTTAGAAATTACTATTTAAGTTTGCAAGAAAGTAAAAATTTTCAGCTATATCCAGTAATATTTTAATGACATGAAGTTGTGAAGAGTTTGTTTTGCCCAAGTCTTTAGTTTTAAGTGGTAGATGTTTACATTTGCATACATCTTTTCTTATTTGAAACTAATACAAATTGATATTTTTAGACACGATGAACATCGGAATAATTTAAAGTCACTTTTGTTTGCTTTTTTTTTTTGCATATTCTACTTTTAACCTTTGCAGAAATTGCATTTATCATGTTTATTAAACTAGTTGATTGTTGGTTGCCAGTGAAAGATTTACTTTAATATTTAGTCCTAAAATAAATGAATTTTACTGTATATGATTATGGTCCTCAATATATGTCAGACATATATCTGTTACTAAATGAACATTTATTAGAATATCAGATATTTTATATATAATATAAAAATAAGAAGATGTGGTATGATTTCCAATGAAAAAAATCTCCACCAGAAACCAAATGACATAGAAGTTAAAAACTATAGGTCACCGTATGGTTTTCAACAATGAGCAAAACCCATAATTGTCCCATTCAATTTGAATTGAATCGCTGTGGATGCGTTATTATTCGTGAGATATCAATTGTTGGAGATTAAGTGGGAACAGGTGAACCACTAATTTAAATGTTCAATGACATGAATGAAGCACATATTTTTTATAAGCTTGTATGCAGACTTATGTTAAACCACGAAATAAATATCAACAAAAATACAGATGTTCCGAAAATTGGTAAACACGAAAATGAATCCACAGTAATGTGACATATTATTATTTTTTTAGGATTTGTTTGGAGTGAGCATGATTTTTCCATTGCTGTCAACACATGTGAGAGACCTGGGAGCATCATCTACATTGGTTGGTACTATAGGTGAGATTTAACATCTTGAACAATATACAAATTGCATATAGTGGTTGTGTAATTTTTGATAATCAATTTACAGTTCACTCTTTTGAATTTTGAAAATGAATAACTTGGCCTGGTTAGAACTGAAAATAAATATCTTTGCACAAAACATGAATATTCTGCAACACAATCTGCAGAATATCAAATGGTCACCCCTTTACATCTTAAAAGGCAAACATTTATTAATGATATGGGGCTTGAAAAAAATTGACAGTTTGTTATATTTAATTTTATTCAACAGTCAGCATTGATACGACTTTGATGCCCTTGCTAAATGACCAATATAGACATGCAGAGTCAGGCCAGGTCTGTGAAAGGATTGCATTATTCCAATTCATTTAAAACCAGGACTAATATTGATATCATTGCCGGCCAATAACGTCACAATGATTTGATTGGCACTTTTATCCATATCTTAGCCACCATATCATATCACATTATATTATGCTGAATGATACAAATATGGAAAATTATATGTTATTATATTTTATTTATTTAAAGAAGAATGAAAATAAATATTACATTTTTTTTTAGGCTTGATAATAAAGAAAATACTTGTCTACATGAAAGATTGAACGAAGGGAATAGGGGCATTAAGGCCTACTTTTGGCCCAAGAAAATGAAGATTTTGGAAACTATTTCAAATTTGCAAATAATGATTGGAAATGCTCAAGAAATATAAATGAAATACACAAGATCGTTGATGTTATGACATCACAATTACATCAAATAATGCACCTTTTTTTTCATAAAACAAAAAAAAACTGCTGAATTTATGCCTTTTTCCTTCATGCACTGCAGCCAAGAAACAACAAAATAAATTTTGAGAAGCTTTATTATAGCTATTGACATAATTCCACCAAATATAAAGTTGTTTTTTTTGGTGTGCACATACTATTCCAATTCAAAATACCCCTAAAATTTTATGTTATACAAGGAAAATTAAGAAATATTACAAAATATACAAATTTGATCATTGTTTGTTGCCATGGTAACTTGTTTAATTTGAAATTTCTTAGCATTTCCTTAATGCCTTTATTGTATTCCAGACAAATTTAAGAGCATGTATGTTTACTTTTTAATTCGCATTAATATTTGGGCCAAATAGGGGCCTTATTGCCATTTAACTGATATTTTGTTTTCTTTTCAGGTTCTATTTATGGAGGAATACAATTACTTTCCAGTCCACTTGTAGTAAGTTTATGAATAATTTCACATTACAGATCAATTTTAGATAACTAATATTTGTGTTTTCATTTGTGAATGTTGGAATACTCTTCTGTATCATTTTTATAACATACTGTTTTTGTCTCGCCTTGACGGAGTCAAAAAGCAAGACATAGGTATACTGTTTCCGCTGTGGGCGGCGACGGCGTCAACACTGTATTAGTTTGTGATTAGGTCTAGTTCATGGTGAACCACTAGTGGTAGGTCAATGATATTTGGTATGCAGTTGTATTAGCATTAGCACATCTCATTACCATGGAGATTATTTGGCCCCGCCCCCTCAGTCAAGGTCTATTGACTTTGAAACTCTTCATAGTTTACATGTATTAGTTTGTGATTAGGTCAATTTATGGGGAACCACTAGTGGTAGGTCAATGATATTTGGTATGCAGTTGTATAAACATTGGCATATCTCATTTCCATGGAGATTATTTGGCGCCGCCCCCTTAGTCATGGTCTATAGACTTTGAAAATTTTGCTAAGTTAACATGTATTAGTTTGTGATTAGGTCAGTTTAAGGGGAACCATTAGTGGCAGGCCAATGTTAATTGGTGTTCAGTTGTATAAGCATTAGCACATCTCATTTCCATGGAGAATATTTGGCCCCACCCCCTCAGTCATGGTCTATTTACTTTGAAACTTTTGCTTAGTTTACATGTATTAGTTTGTGATTAGATCAGTTTAAGATGAACTGCTAATGTTAAGTCAATGATATTTGGTATGCAAATTTATTGGCATTTGCAAGTATCGTTTCCATGGAGATTATATAGCCCCACCCCTGATCATGGTTCATTGACTTTGAAACTTTTACATAGTTTACAAGTTAATGTTTGTGTTTAGGTTTGTTTAAAGGGAACGAATTATAATAATTAAGTCAATGGTATTTGGTATGCAGTTGTATTAGCATTGGCACATCTCATTCCATGGAGATTGTTTAGCCATGTACCTTCAGTCATGGTTTATCGACTTTGAATATTTGCATAACTTACATGTTAAAGTATTGCTATTTTAATTTCAACATTTGCATTATCAAAATTACAAAAAGGCGAGACATATCTCTGTGATAACATTTTTTTTATGATTATTATTTATTAAGATATGAAAACATATGGGTGAAAGCACCTTGTGAGTAAAATAAAAGTTTTAAAGATTTATTCAATATTATTCAATTATGATTTTCCTTGAACAATTCTGAAACATAAATTTGGTATAAAGCATTTTTGTCCTGAACCACAACCAACTTTTCATAATGTTCATCAGGTTTTAAACAGAAAAATTAACCTTAGCATTAGAACTTTTATGACGTCAGAATTAGGTTAGTTCATATATGATCTCTATTTTTATGCCCCTGTCTGTACTTCCCAAAATTGGTTTCCGTTCTCTAACTTTAGTTTGCCTCAACCAAATGTTATGAAACTTATACACAATGCTTATTACCACAAAACACAGATCAAGTTTGAATTTTGTTGGCGTCACTTTTACCTTTCTAGAGTTATGCCCTTTACAAATGGAAAAATTGCTGAAATATTCATTTCTGTTCTCTAACTTTAGTTTGCCTCAACCAAATGTTATGAAACTTATACACAATGCTTATAACCACAAAACACAGATCAAGGTTGAATTTTGGTTGCGTCACTTTTACTGTTCTAGAGTTATGTCCCTTTACAAATGGAAAAATTGCTGAATCTTTCGTTTCCATTCTCTATTAAACTTAAGTTTGCCACAAATATATGTTATGAAAATTATAAACAATGCTTACTACCACAAGACTCAGATCAAGTAAAAATCTTGAGTTATGTCCCTTTATAACGTTATATGCAAGCGGGGGCATCATCTGTGTCCCATGGACACATTCCCCATTTATTTAATACTTATATATAATTTAATTTTGGATGTAACACACCTTCTGATTGGCTGAAAGTGTTTTGTCTATCAGCTCATAGACAGGGGCAGATTCAGGCAGGGGCGTGGTGGGCGTGCGCCCCCTCAAATTTGCAAAGCATGGATCGTCCTCAGCTTAATAAAGAATATTTTGATAATTTTACCTGAAAAAAACTTTCGACTCGCTATGCTCAGTGAAAATTTAAGTTTGCACCCCCCCTAAACTAAAATCCTGGATCCGCCCCTGATAGACATACTTTTGTCATGTGACTGTGACGTCATCAACATTTTTATCATGATTTACTTCTTTTTAGGATTAAACTATAAAGAATGACTGTAAAATTTTTTTTGTCTATTGGAAATAACCTAAAAATGTGGTGCACACTTTTAATTAACCCACTATGCGGGTTATTCAGTGTGCACCACATTTTTGATGTTATTTCTTCATAGACAGAGAAATTATTACAGTCATTCCTTAAAAATTAATATTCATTTGTGGGTGCAGTGGGCAACTAAATAAACTTTAATTCATAAAATTGAATGATGTTACTCTTTTTGAAAAGACAGATATGGGTAAAAATTTCAGGAATCCTTGAAAATAGGCCAAAAATAGATAGTGAAGTCAAAACAGTTATTTGATTGAAGATAACATAATGCTAAAAGATCTTTTTTGTTGACAAATGCACTTTATGTTTATGGTCCTTTAGACAAATGGAAGTTTTCAATAATTTGTTGGAAAAATTGAAATTTAAAAGCTGATTTTGACGTCATGAAAAGAACACTGACATGTAAATTTTCCAAAAAGACTCATTTCATATCTGCTCATTGCTTTAACTATGATACATTGTGGTAATAGCCATTAAGTCCTAATTATAATTTCCAAAAAGACTCATTTCATATCTGCTCATTGCTTTTACTATGAAACATTGTGGTAATAGCCATTAAGTCCTAATTTTAACAAGGAATAAGAGTCATAGCCTGTCCTTATTGAACCTACTCCTTTAATTTAAAGTGCAATATTGATTGTGGATGATGAAGATTCAGTTGAAATCATGATAAAAAGTAATGATTATTAATATTATATTGTTTTTAGGGAAGATGGAGTGATGTGTCTGGTAAAAATATTGTTTATCAGGGTGCTTGATGTTTTTTTTAGGGAAGATGGAGTGATATGTCTGGAAAGGGTTTGGGAAGATGGTGTTATGTGTCTGGTAGAAGATTCTGTTAATTATGGTGTTTATTGTTTTAGGGAAGATGGAGTGATGTGTCTGGAAAGGGTTGGGGAAGATTGAGTGATGTGTCAGGTAGAAGATTCTGTTTATTATGGTTTTTATTGTTTAAGGGAAGATGGAGTGATGTATCTGGTAGGCGATTCAGTTTATTATGGTGTTTATTAGTCCCCTACCGACGTAGTCGAAGGGGACTTTAGGTTTGCACTCCGTCTGTCTGTCCGTCTGTCCATCTGTCCGTCTGTCCATCCGTCAGTCCGGCAAATCAGCTTTCCACACTTTTTTTCTTCGTTCTTGAAGATATTGATTTGATATTTGGTATATAGTTTTATCATGACAAGTTATAGATCAAGTTCGAATTTTGTTCCGGACTGATGATTTAGTCAGACCATATTTAGAAGACCATATCTAATGTTAGAGTACTATGTTAAACCATATTTCTGTACAAAGGGAAATAACTCATTTTTTAAAAGACATTCTTTGTTGAATTATTTGAAGAGTCTTTTGGCAGGTTTGTTTGTTATTTAGTATAAACTAATTTTCTGAATGCTATATATATAAAAAAAATTATGAAGAGAAATCCTTTAATTAGATAATAATCTATTTTTATTAATGTATATATTTCAATACATTACATTGTGTAGATAAAAGTTGTTGACATTTTATAGATAAGTTACAAATCTATATTAGTTTGTGACAAATGAAAGAAAAAATATTTGGAACTATTAATTATATTTGATTATAATTTGAAAATAGATATACACTGTATTACATTATATCTAATTTTAGAGAACTATTAATCATATCTAATGTTTTTTTCACTCATATAATCAGTTTTCCACACTGTTTTCAGTCATGCTTGAAGATATTGACATGATATTTACTTTTTGTTTACACCATGACAAGTTATAGAACAAGTTAGCATTTTGTTCCAGTAAAATGAATTTTTACCCGGTAGGGGACTATGTATTGCCATGCAATACTCTCAGAATGCTTGTTGTTTTAGGGAAGATGGAGTGATGTGTCTGGAAAGGGTTGGGGAAGATGGAGTGATGTGTCTGGTAGGCGATTCAGTTTATTATGGTGTTTATTGTTTTAGGGAAGATGGAGTGATGTGTCTGGTAGACGATTCAGTATATTATGGTGTTTATTGTTTAAGGGAAGATGGAGTGATGTGTCTGGAAAGGGTTGGGGAAGATGGAGTGATGTGTCTGGTAGGCGATTCAGTATATTATGGTGTTTATTGTTTTAGGGAAGATGGAGTGATGTGTCTGGAAAGGGTTGGGGAAGATGGAGTGATGTGTCCGGATGAAGATTCTGTTTAATATGGTATTTATTGTTTAAGGGAAGATGGAGTGATGTGTCTAGTAGGCGATTCAGTTTATTATGGTGTTTATTGTTTAAAGGGAAGATGGAGTGATGTGTCAGGAAAGGGTTGGGGAAGATGGAGTGATGTGTCTAGTAGGCGATTCAGTTTATTATGGTGTTTATTGTTTTAGGAAGATGGAGTGATGTGTCTGGAAAGGGTTGGGGAAGATGGAGTGATGTGTCTGGTAGAAGATTCTGTTTAATATGGTATTTATTGTTTAAGGGAAGATGGAGTGATGTGTCTGGTAGACGATTCAGTTTATTATGGTGTTTATTGTTTTAGGGAAGATGGAGTGATGTGTCTGGAAAGGGTTGGGAAAGATGGAGTGATGTGTCTGGTAGGCGATTCAGTATATTATGGTGTTTATTGTTTAAGGGAAGATGGAGTGATGTGTCTGGTAGAAGATTCAGTTTATTATGGTGTTTATTGTTTTAGGGAAGATGGAGTGATGTGTCTGGAAAGGGTTGGGGAAGATGGAGTGATGTGTCTGGTAGAAGATTCTGTTTAATATGGTATTTATTGCTTAAGGGAAGATGGAGTGATGTGTCTAGTAGGCGATTCAGTTTATTATGGTGTTTATTGTTTTAGGGAAGATGGAGTGATGTGTCAGGAAAGGGTTGGGGAAGATGGAGTGATGTGTCTAGTAGGCGATTCAGTTTATTATGGTGTTTATTGTTTTAGGGAAGATGGAGTGATGTGTCTAGAAAGGGTTGGGGAAGATGGAGTGATGTGTCTGGTAGAAGATTCTGTTTATTATGGTGTTTATTGTTTTAGGGAAGATGGAGTGATGTGTCAGGAAAGGGTTGGGGAAGATGGAGTGATGTGTCTAGTAGGCGATTCAGTTTATTATGGTGTTTATTGTTTTAGGGAAGATGGAGTGATGTGTCTGGAAAGGGTTGGGGAAGATGGAGTGATGTGTCTGGTAGAAGATTCAGTTTATTATGGTGTTTATTGTTTTAGGTAAGATGGAGTGATGTGTCTGGTAAGGGTTAGGGAAGATGGAGTGATGTGTCTGGTAGAAGATTCTGTTTAATATGGTATTTATTGTTTTAGGGAAGATGGAGTGATGTGTTTAGAAGGCGATTCAGTTTATTATGGTTTTTAATGTTTAAGGGAAGATGGAGTGATGTGTCTGGTAAGGGTTGGGGAAGATGGAGGGATGTGTCTGGTAGGCGATTCAGTTTATTATTGTGTTTATTGTTTTAGGGAAGATGGAGTGATGTGTCTAGTAGGCGATTAAGTTTATTATGGTTTTTAATGTTTAAGGGAAGATGGAGTAATGTGTCTGGAAAGGGTTGGGGAAGATGGAGTGATGTGTCTGGTAGGCGGTTCAGTTTATTATGGTGTTTATTGTTTTAGGGAAGATGGAGTGATGTGTCTGGAAAGGGTTGGGGAAGATGGAGTGATGTGTCTGGTAGAAGATTCAGTTTATTATGGTGTTTATTGTTTTAGGGAAGATGGAGTGATGTGTCTAGAAAGGGTTGGGGAAGATGGAGTGATGTGTCTGGTAGGCGATTCAGTATATTATGGTGTTTATTGTTTTAGGGAAGATGGAGTGATGTGTCTGGAAAAGGTTGGGGAAGATGAAGTGATGTGTCTAGAAAGGGTTGGGGAAGATGGAGTGATGTGTCTGGAAAGGGTTGGGGAAGATGGAGTAATGTGTCTGGTAGAAGATTCTGTTTATTATGGTTTTTAATGTTTAAGGGAAGATGGAGTAATGTGTCTAGAAAGGGTTGGGGAAGATGGAGTGATGTGTCTGGTAGGCGATTCTGTTTATTATGGTTTTTTAATGTTTAAGGGAAGATGGAGTGATCTGTCAGGAAAGGGTTGGGGAAGATGGAGTGATGTGTCTGGTAGGCGATTCAGTATATTATGGTTTTTATTGTTTTAGGGAAGATGGAGTGATGTGTCTGGTAGGCGATTCAGTTTATTATGGTGTTTATTGTTTTAGGGTAGATGGAGTGATGTGTCTGGAAAGGGTTGGGCAAGATGGAGTGATGTGTCTGGTAGAAGATTCTGTTTAATATGGTATTTATTGTTTAAGGGAAGATGGAGTGATGTGTCTAGTAGGCGATTCAGTTTATTATGGTGTTTATTGTTTTAGGGAAGATGGAGTGATGTGTCAGGAAAGGGTTGGGGAAGATGGAGTGATGGGTCTGGTAGAAGATTCTGTTTATTATGGTGTTTATTGTTTTAGGGAAGATGGAGTGATGTGTCTGGAAAGGGTTGGGCAAGATGGAGTGATGTGTCTGGTAGAAGATTCTGTTTAATATGGTATTTATTGTTTAAGGGAAGATGGAGTGATGTGTCTAGTAGGCGATTCAGTTTATTATGGTGTTTATTGTTTTAGGGAAGATGGAGTGATGTGTCAGGAAAGGGTTGGGGAAGATGGAGTGATGTGTCTAGTAGGCGATTCAGTTTATTATGGTGTTTATTGTTTTAGGGAAGATGGAGTGATGTGTCTGGTAGGCGATTCAGTTTATTATGGTGTTTATTGTTTTAGGGAAGATGGAGTGATGTGTCTGGTAGAAGATTCTGTTTACTATGGTGTTTATTGTTTAAGGGAAGATGGAGTGTTGTGTCTAGAAAGGGTTGGGGAAGATGGAGTGATGTGTCTGGTAGAAGATTCTGTTTATTGTGGTGTTTATTGTTTAAGGGAAGATGGAGTGATGTGTCTTGTAGAAGATTCAGTTTATTATGGTGTTTATTGTTTAAGGGAAGATGGAGTGATGCGTCTGGTAGAAGATTCTGTTTATTGTGGTGTTTATTGTTTAAGGGAAGATGGAGTGATGTGTCTGGAAAGGGTTGGGGAAGTTGGAGTGATGTGTCTGGTAGAAGATTCTGTTTAATATGGTGTTTATTGTTTTAGGGAAGATGGAGTGATGTGTCTGGAAAGGGTTGGGGAAGTTGGAGTGATGTGTCTGGTAGAAGATTCAGTTTATTATGGTGTTTATTGTTTTAGGGAAGATGGAGTGAAGTGTCTGGTAGAAGATTCTGTTTAATATGGTGTTTATTGTTTTAGGGAAGATGGAGTTATGTGTCTGGAAAGGGTTAGGGAAGATGGAGTGATGTGTCTGGTAGAAGATTCTGTTTATTATGGTGTTTATTGTTTTAGGGAAGATGGAGTGATGTGTCTGGTAGAAGATTCTGTTTATTATGGTGTTTATTGTTTTAGGGAAGATGGAGTGATGTGTCTGGTAGAAGATTCTGTTTATTGTGGTGTTTATTGTTTAAGGGAAAATGGAGTGATGTGTCTGGTAGGCGATTCAGTTTATTATGGTGTTTATTGTTTTAGGGAAGATGGAGTGATGTGTCTACAAAGGGTTGGGGAAGATGGAGTGATGTGTCTGGTAGGCGATTCAGTTTATTATGGTGTTTATTGTTTAAGGGAAGATGGAGTGATGTGTCTGGTAGAAGATTCTGTTTAATATGGTGTTTATTGTTTTAGGGAAGATGGAGTTATGTGTCTGGAAAGGGTTGGGGAAGATGGAGTGATGTGTCTGGTAGAAGATTCTGTTTATTATGGTGTTTATTGTTTTAGGGAAGATGGAGTTATGTGTCTGGTAGAAGATTCTGTTTAATATGGTGTTTATTGTTTTAGGGAAGATGGAGTTATGTGTCTGGAAAGGGTTGGGGAAGATGGAGTGATGTGTCTGGTAGAAGATTCTGTTTATTATGGTGTTTATTGTTTTAGGGAAGATGGAGTGATGTGTCTGGTAGAAGATTCTGTTTAATATGGTGTTTATTGTTTTAGGGAAGATGGAGTTATGTGTCTGGAAAGGGTTGGGGAAGATGGAGTGATGTGTCTGGTAGAAGATTCTGTTTATTATGGTGTTTATTGTTTTAGGGAAGATGGAGTTATGTGTCTGGTAGAAGATTCTGTTTAATATGGTGTTTATTGTTTTAGGGAAGATGGAGTTATGTGTCTGGAAAGGGTTGGGGAAGATGGAGTGATGTGTCTGGTAGGCGATTCAGTTTATTATGGTGTTTATTGTTTTAGGGAAGATGTAGTGATGTGTCTGGTAGGCGGTTCAGTTTATTATGGTGTTTATTGTTTTAGGGAAGATGGAGTGAAGTGTCTGGTAGAAGATTCTGTTTAATATGGTGTTTATTGTTTTAGGGAAGATGGAGTTATGTGTCTGGAAAGGGTTGGGGAAGATGGAGTGATGTGTCTGGTAGAAGATTCTGTTTATTATGATGTTTATTGTTTTAGGGAAGATGGAGTGATGTGTCTGGTAGAAGATTCTTTTTATTATGGTGTTTATTGTTTTAGGGAAGATGGAGTGATGTGTTTAGAAGGCGATTCAGTTTATTATGGTTTTTAATGTTTAAGGGAAGATGGAGTGATGTGTCTGGTAAGGGTTGGGGAAGATGGAGGGATGTGTCTGGTAGGCGATTCAGTTTATTATTGTGTTTATTGTTTGAGGGAAGATGGAGTGATGTGTCTAGTAGGCGATTCAGTTTATTATGGTTTTTAATGTTTAAGGGAAGATGGAGTAATGTGTCTGGAAAGGGTTGGGGAAGATGGAGTGATGTGTCTGGTAGGCGGTTCAGTTTATTATGGTGTTTATTGTTTTAGGGAAGATGGAGTGATGTGTCTGGAAAGGGTTGGGGAAGATGGAGTGATGTGTCTGGTAGAAGATTCAGTTTATTATGGTGTTTATTGTTTAAGGGAAGATGGAGTGATGTGTCTTGAAAGGGTTGGGGAAGATGGAGTGATGTGTCTGGTAGGCGATTCAGTTTATTATGGTGTTTATTGTTTTAGGGAAGATGTAGTGATGTGTCTGGTAGGCGGTTCAGTTTATTATGGTGTTTATTGTTTTAGGGAAGATGGAGTGATGTGTCTGGTAGAAGATTCTGTTTAATATGGTGTTTATTGTTTTAGGGAAGATGGAGTTATGTGTCTGGAAAGGGTTGGGGAAGATGGAGTGATGTGTCTGGTAGAAGATTCTGTTTATTATGGTGTTTATTGTTTTAGGGAAGATGGAGTGATGTGTCTGGTAGAAGATTCTGTTTATTATGGTGTTTATTGTTTTAGGGAAGATGGAGTGATGTGTTTAGAAGGCGATTCAGTTTATTATGGTTTTTAATGTTTAAGGGAAGATGGAGTGATGTGTCTGGTAAGGGTTGGGGAAGATGGAGGGATGTGTCTGGTAAGCGATTCAGTTTATTATTGTGTTTATTGTTTTAGGGAAGATGGAGTGATGTGTCTAGTAGGCGATTCAGTTTATTATGGTTTTTAATGTTTAAGGGAAGATGGAGTAATGTGTCTGGAAAGGGTTGGGGAAGATGGAGTGATGTGTCTGGTAGGCGGTTCAGTTTATTATGGTGTTTATTGTTTTAGGGAAGATGGAGTGATGTGTCTGGTAGAAGATTCTGTTTATTGTGGTGTTTATTGTTTAAGGGAAGATGGAGTGATGTGTCTGGTAGAAGATTCTGTTTAATATGGTGTTTATTGTTTTAGGGAAGATGGAGTGATGTGTCTGGTAGGCGATTCAGTTTATTATGGTGTTTATTGTTTTAGGGAAGATGGAGTGATGTGTCTGGTAGAAGATTCTGTTTAATATGGTGTTTATTGTTTTAGGGAAGATGGAGTTATGTGTCTGGAAAGGGTTGGGGAACATGGAGTGATGGGTCTGGATGAAGATTCTGTTTATTATGGTGTTTATTGTTTAAGGGAAGATGGAGTAATGTGTCTGGTAGAAGATTCTGTTTAATATGGTGTTTATTGTTTTAGGGAAGATGGAGTGATGTGTCTGGTAGGCGATTCAGTTTAATATGGTGTTTATTGTTTTAGGGAAGATGGAGTGATGTGTCTGGTAGAAGATTCTGTTTAATATGGTGTTTATTGTTTTAGGGAAGATGGAGTTATGTGTCCGGAAAGGGTTGGGGAAGATGGAGTGATGTGTCTGGTAGGCGATTCAGTTTAATATGGTGTTTATTGTTTTAGGGAAGATGGAGTGATGTGTCTGGAAAGGGTTGGGGAAGTTGGAGTGATGTGTCTGGTAGAAGATTCAGTTTATTATGGTGTTTATTGTTTTAGGGAAGATGGAGTGATGTGTCTGGAAGAAGATTCTGTTTAATATGGTGTTTATTGTTTAAGGGAAGATGGAGTGATGTGTCTGGAAAGGGTTGGGGAAGATGGAGTGATGGGTCTGGTAGAAGATTCTGTTTATTATGGTGTTTATTGTTTAAGGGAAGATGGAGTGATGTGTCTGGTAGAAGATTCTGTTTAATATGGTGTTTATTGTTTTAGGGAAGATGGAGTGATGTGTCTGGTAGGCGATTCAGTTTAGTATGGTGTTTATTGTTTTAGGGAAGATGGAGTGATGTGTCTGGAAAGGGTTGGGGAAGATGGAGTGATGGGTCTGGTAGAAGATTCTGTTTATTATGGTGTTTATTGTTTAAGGGAAGATGGAGTGATGTGTCTAGTAGAAGATTCTGTTTAATATGGTGTTTATTGTTTTAGGGAAGATGGAGTGATGTGTCAGGTAGAAGATTCTGTTTATTATGGTGTTTGTTGTTGAAGGGAAGATGGAGTGATGTGTCTAGAAAGGGTTTGGGAAGATGGAGTGAAGTGTCTGGTAGAAGATTCTGTTTAATATGGTGTTTATTGTTTAAGGGAAGATGGAGTGATGTGTCTGGAAAGGGTTGGGGAAGATGGAGTGATGGGTCTGGTAGAAGATTCTGTTTATTATGGTGTTTATTGTTTAAGGGAAGATGGAGTGATGTGTCTGGTAGAAGATTCTGTTTAATATGGTGTTTATTGTTTTAGGGAAGATGGAGTGATGTGTCTGATAGGCGATTCAGTTTAATATGGTGTTTATTGTTTTAGGGAAGATGGAGTGATGTGTCTGGAAAGGGTTGGGGAAGATGGAGTGATGGGTCTGGTGGAAGATTCTGTTTATTATGGTGTTTATTGTTTAAGGGAAGATGGAGTGATGTGTCTGGTAGAAGATTCTGTTTAATATGGTGTTTATTGTTTTAGGGAAGATGGAGTGATGTGTCAGGTAGAAGATTCTGTTTATTATGGTGTTTGTTGTTTAAGGGAAGATGGAGTGATGTGTCTAGAAAGGGTTGGGGAAGATGGAGTGATGTGTCTGGTAGGCGATTTAGTTTATCATGGTGTGTATTGTTGAAGGGAAGATGGAGTGATGTGTCTGGTAGAAGATTCTGTTTAATATGGTGTTTATTGTTTTAGGGAAGATGGAGTGATGTGTCAGGTAGAAGATTCTGTTTAATATGGTGTTTATTGTTTTAGGGAAGATGGAGTGATGTGTCTGGTAGAAGATTCTGTTTATTGTGGTGTTTATTGTTTAAGGGAAGATGGAGTGATGTGTCTGGTAGAAGATTCTGTTTATTGTGGTGTTTATTGTTTAAGGGAAGATGGAGTGATGTGTCCGGAAAGGGTTGGGGAAGATGGAGTGATGTGTCTGGTAGGCGATTCAATTTATTATGGTGTTTATTGTTTAAGGGAAGATGGAGTGATGTGTCCGGAAAGGGTTGGGGAAGATGGAGTGATGTGTCTGGTAGGCGATTCAGTTTAATATGGTGTTTATTGTTTTAGGGAAGATGGAGTGATGTGTCTGGAAAGGGTTGGGGAAGATGGAGTGATGGGTCTGGTAGAAGATTCTGTTTATTATGGTGTTTATTGTTTAAGGGAAGATGGAGTGATGTGTCTGGTAGAAGATTCTGTTTAATATGGTGTTTATTGTTTTAGGGAAGATGGAGTGATGTGTCAGGTAGAAGATTCTGTTTATTATGGTGTTTATTGTTTTAGGGAAGATGGAGTGATGTGTCTGGTAGAAGATTCTGTTTAATATGGTGTTTATTGTTTTAGGGAAGATGGAGTGATGTGTCTGGTAGGCGATTCAGTTTATTATGGTGTTTATTGTTTTAGGGAAGATGGAGTGATGTGTCTAGAAAGAGTTGGGGAAGATGGAGTGAAGTGTCAGGTAGAAGATTCAGTTTATTATGGTGTTTATTGTTTTAGGGAAGATGGAGTGATGTGTCTGGTAGAAAATTCTGTTTAATATGGTGTTTATTGTTTTAGGGAAGATGGAGTTATGTGTCTGGAAAGGGTTGGGGAAGATGGAGTGATGTGTCTGGTAGAAGATTCTGTTTAATATGGTGTTTATTGTTTTAGGGAAGATGGAGTGATGTGTCTGGTAGAAGATTCTGTTTATTATGGTGTTTGTTGTTGACAGCTACTGGTTATATAACACTGGCAATAGCTAGCACTTTAACTTTTGTCATGTTAGCAAGAATCCTGAATGGTAACTAGAAATAAAAGGAAATAGTGATGTTATCTACAGGAAACTTTAGGAAATTCTAGAAATTTTAAATTATTTGCTTAGACCTGAGGGTTTGGAATTATTTGAATTTTTTTTCTTTTCTTTTTTTTTGTTTGAAAAGGATTGTTTATCAAGCATATACAGTATAGAAATTTGTAAGCTCATTTGTGATCACAGTAGTTCAATATTTACAATAGATCTTCCATTGTTATCATGTCAAAAACATCCACTCTTTTCTTTTGATAACATATATATTCAAATTTCAATCACTTATCATCTGTCATCATGATCTAAAAATACCTCTTTAAATGTAATTCATTGCCATAGAGAATGGAGCGCACTTGCTGGAAAATTTATCAGGCTACTCTATGGGAGAGAAATGCAAGAAATGCATGTCAAGTTTAAATATTATTTGTATCCAATTAAAAGAGAAATCCAATGTCAATTACAAATTTATATATTTACTTAGTATAAATATCAGATACAGTTATTTGTAAATTGCTAAAAAGGATTTCATAATTTCTGTTTTAATTAGTTTTTTTTCTGTTTGAAACACTTGTCACAGAAAAAATGATCAAATTCTTTAAGTATAAAAATTAAGAGTCAATTTTGACTCTCTTCAGAATACACATCTCATAAGCAGCATATACTCTGACAAAATTTTTGTTTTAACAGGATTATTTAAGCATAGTCAAAGTTTAACCAAATCGCTGTTAGCAGATCTAACATCTAAAGAAGAGCAGTCAGCTGTATTGGGGACATTCAATGCTGCTTCCAGTTTTGGGTTTATTGTTGGACCATTGATTGGGGGACATGTAGCGGAAACTTCAAATGGATTCCAGAAAGTTGGATTAATCAGTGCTTTCGTTTTTATAGCAAATAGTGGTTAGTATTGCCAAATTGCAGTATATTTCTTTTATTGAGAAACATATTTTAAAATTTTGTTAGAAATATATAATGCAATTTAGCTGCTGTCCAAAGTAATTATATACATTTTTAGAGGACAATCTCCACTATGAGGATATGGTAAGATTCACTAAATATAGCAATATGACTTCTTGGACTTATGTTGGTGAAGAGTACATTGTATGATATGTATAAGGTATTGTTATGTATAAACTCTCTGATTGCTTACAAAAAATCAAAGGGACATGTTTTGAGAGTGGTCAAATTTTTTCTAGTTTCAGGACAATAACTTGTGTATAAATATTTTGATTGCTCTGGAATTGTACCACAAGGTTCAATACTACAAGTAGAAGGTTGGGATTCATTTTGGGGGTAATTGCCCAAACTGTTCAGGAATTAGGGGACAAAAAGGGGACAAAAAGAAGCATTTTTCTAGTTTTCAGATAATAACTTGTGTTTAAGTGTATGGATGTCTCTTAAATTGTACCACATTTTACAAAAAGAAAATTTCTTCAAATAGGGGGGGGGGGGGGGGGGGGGGTAAAAAATTTTTGGGGGGTCAATTTTTTTTCCTGAAGATTAAAGAAATAAAAAAAAAATTGGGGGTCAAAATTTATTTTGCTAATTCTTTGTATATAGTCTAAAAACGGTTTTACTAAGTATTGGGCAACAGCACAGTGTATTGCACAACAGCAAGAAATCTTCAATTGCATTTAAATTCAAATCATATAACCAATTTCAAGTTTTTTTACTACATTTATTCTGTGTCAGAAACCTATAATGTGTCAAATATTTAATTACAATCCAAATTCAGACCTGTATCAAGCTTGAATATTGTGTCCATTTTTGCCCCAAATGTTCAGGGTTGGACCTCTGCAGTCATATCCAGCTGCAATCAGCGAAGCACATTTTGTTTTCATTCTTGTCATGAATATGCACGAAATATTTGCCACTGCAAATTGAACAAACAGCTGTCAGTTATTATAAACCAACATATATACGTTGATACTTTAATTTTTAATTAGCCTTTTCTAGCAAACTTTATGATGATTTATTTTTTGTCATTTTCAAATGTTCTTAATGTATTTATATAAAGGAAGATCCAAGTTTTACATACTAGCAACGATTTATATTACCGTTATTTCTTCTATTCACAAAAGGTGTGAAAACTATTTGCTTGCGAAATATATTGGTTAACATTTCTCTGATGATGGCTAAATATTTATCTTAATTTCAATATGAAAATCATTCCAATTAAGATATTTGTCTCTATAGTACACGCACACATTTTATGACCAACAAAAGCACTAATGGCATGAAAAATGTCATCTAAAAGTAAATAGTTTGATAGAATGATAACTATTGAATTCAAGCTTATTGATACATGTATTTTTATTTCTTATCCACTTTAATTGATATTTCTGTATTTTCAGTGTTGATATATATTTGTGTAGAAGATCACAAGAAGACCAGTTCTAAAGACGACAAATTGAAACCTGAATCAGAAACATCAAGGAAGAAAGTTTCATCTTTGGAAAACAACTTCAGTCCAAAAATATTCCTAGAGACATTTCATTCAGTTAACTGGAGTAAGCTGTGGGATCTGTTTTTAATCAAATTCTGTATGGGATTTTCAATTTTATTATTTAGAAGTAACTTTTCGCTAGTAATGAGAGAAGCTTTTCAAGTTACTCCAAAAACAATCGGATACCTGATGTCTTATTCTGGATGTGTATCAGCTTTTTTTGGCTTATTGGTAGGGTATATTGCCAAATTATATAATAATGATGCCAAATTGTTTATGCATATGGCAATATTTCAGGTTGTTACTTTATTCATGTTGTCAATCATCCATGAGACATTTTGGTTGTATGTGTTGTTTCTGACACCTCTCAGTTTAATAACGACTGTTTCAAGGGTTGCAGGAACAAGTTTGACTATACAGCGAGGAGAGAGGAAAGAAATTGGGACATTGTTGGGTTTTAGTCAAAGTGTGATGTCCATAGCCAGAATGTTAGGACCATTTATTTCAGGACTAGTATTAGATATAAACAAATCTGGACCTGCTTTTATAGGTGGTGTTGTGACATTAATTGCTGTTTTCATAATGATTGTTCGTCCACAAGGTATTGTAGAAAAAAGCACAAAAATTGTAAAACCTGAAAAATTAGACTAAAATTCATCTCTCAGAATATGATATGTTGATTTTTCTTCCCCTGTTATCATTCGTTTTTTTTTTTTAGAAATTCAAATGCAATATTTACAATTATTATACCTTACATATATTTCAAACAATTCTATTGGGTAAAACGTTATCACGTGACATGGAATAATTCAGTTAATTTTCATTCAATTGCAAGGAAGAACGAATAACCCTAAAAATGTACACCAGCGTTGAATAACCCTATTATTCACCGGCGAATAACCTTTTTAGTCTGTTGATTTGTACTCATGAAAATGACGTCACAGACGTAAATAAACAAAATGGCAACGTTCAAGTTACAGGAAGCCCATTGATCGAGAGAAGAGGAAATAAGGCTTTTGACGTGCATCTTGTGCCGATGATATCTCTAATAACGGTCCTTTTCAGAGCCATCAATATTTTACAAAAAGAATCTACCTTTGTTGTACATACGAGAATTCTAAGACACAAATTACATGTATTTTTGAACGTCAACTTGTGTTTGTTACTGACTCAAGTAAGGGTAAGTGCTTTTACACTGTTAGTTCGGTATAATAAAACAATTGTGGCCCCTTAGAAGCGATGAATATCCAAAATTGTCAACCCTTAAAAGTTATTTCACTTCGGGCTGCGCCCTCAGTGAAATAACCTTCTCGTGTTGACAATTTTGGATATTCACCTTTTCAACGGGCCATAATTGTATATTGTTATATATCACTGTGTTTAAGGATGTTCGCTACTCTTGTTTTTGACTTTTTGTTAGATATTCAGAATCCTCTAGTTTTATCCATGTAGTGCCAATAAAGAATTTGCCCAATAACCTCCACTTTTCTTTTCATAATTTTATTACATATACTTTAAAACACCATTTTTGAAAATCTTATATAATCCTTATTATTTTTTCATAGTTTTTGAAAGAAAAAAAGGTGCCAATGTTAAATGTATGAAAAATCTAGAAAGAATAAAAAGCATATTATTTTAAAACAGAGGAGTAAAACATCCTTAACTCAGTCGTAATGTGCAATGCAGTGAAGATCTAAGGTTAATTATTGTAAATAAAATCTTGACACAAAGAATTCAATTTTGCAATCTGATTAGAATTATATCTTTTTGATTTGCTCCATTTTATTTGTTTAATGCTCATGTAAGATATGAGGACAGCCCATTAGGGTCATGTTCAGTGACATTTTAGCATTCAATAAAATCTTTCCTTTCAAAAGATTCTTTACTTTTACAATCATGATTAAGAGATAATTTTACTTGTTTCATTGTTTGCAGGTTTTCAAAGTATTGATATTTTATAAGATATTCAAATTTTGACAAAATTGTTTCTGCTGTAAAGGATACTCAAAATTACACACAGATAAAAAAATTGACCAAAAATGTTTTTAAAAATGGCCTTATTTTGAGATCTTGTTATTGATATTTAGATATGAGCTACTTGCCTCTCACAAAGGTGTTGATGTTGTTAAGAATATCTTTTTGGGTGGTTATAAGATGTGGACTATTTTTTGATTTTGCCAAAATCTTTATTAGGAAAAATATGTCAATTTTGACTTTTGTATGTAGTGACAGCATAATTTCAATTTCTATTCTGGATTTTTATCGACCTTTTCATATACCAAAATAATCAACATGATTTTGAAAGAAGTGAAAAATTTAATATTTTTGCACTTTTAGGGATCAAATAATGACTTTTATCATGCCTCATTTCTGTATCAACTATGCATACATTGTCAAAAGCAATTCCAAAATATTTATAGAATTCTGCCGCATAATGTCCCTATATAAGTTTTTATTAATTTTACACCATAACATAAGATTAAACAGTTTTTTGTTTCATATAATAATAAACTTAAACCTTCTTCAAAGTCATCTCAGTTCAAATACATATAAAAAATCCCATTTGAGAAAGAAGAATTTGTTCGTTTTGAAAACAGGTGTTCATGCAGGTTTAAGATATTATTCATGTTGGAATAAAAGGACATTGGAACCAGTCTGGTTCTAACAGGTATGTTGTCAAGGATCATTTTAAATAGGTTTCACTATAATTAACAATGACTGAATAAGCATTCTTCCATCAATGTATACTTTAATAATGGCAGTTCATTAACAACAATGTTGTTTTGGAGTTATTTAAAGACAATCCCTTTGCTACATGAAATAGATTTTTATTCCAACAGCATTGTGACAGTGATAATATGTTACTCTTGGCAACATCCCTATCCCTGCTGCTGTATTATATGTCCTTTTATGTACACTAAAAGTTATTTTAAGCTGATTGGGATGAAAAAAAACAGAAGATGTCTTTTGTTCATTTACTTTTTTAAGTTGCTGTCAATGTACGTTTTTGTTAATTTAATTTTTTTGTTAAATTGCTGTCTTAGTGTTTTTTGTCTAGCCTGCGATGAAAGTCGCAGAATGCGAAACCTTGGTATTACAATCCGGCGGCGGTGGCAACTGTGTAAACTATTTGTATAATGCTTATATAATATATATTTCAGAAGATAGAAGACCTGGATGCTTCATACCTTGTATGCAGTTACCTTATACTACTAAGTTTCTGTCTGTCTTATGTCCATTATCCTTGACCTCATTTTCATGGTTGTTACTGCTGTTTTTTTGAAAAGTGAAATATTCTCTTATTATAAGTAGTATGATAACTATATTTGGTATATGGGTTCCTTGCAAGGTCTACATGTTCGTCAGTAAGGGTTCACCTGACCTGAACCTCATTTCATGGATCAGTGATCAAAGTTAAAGTTACATGGTCAAGTCTATATCTCTGATACTATAAGCAGTAAGTCAACTATATTTGGTGTATGGAATGATTTTAAGTTGTACATTTCAAAATTACTGACCTTGACCTCAGTTTCATGGCTCATTGGACAATGTTAGTTTTTGTGAGTTTTGTTTATTTCTCAGATACTATAAGCAATAGGGTCACTATATTTGGTGTATGGAATGATTGTAAGGTGCACATGTTGGACTGGCAGGTTTCATCTGACCTTGGCCTCATTTTCATGGTTCATAGGACAATGTTTAGTTTTTGTGGTTTGGTCTATGTCTCAGATAATGTAATCAATAGGTTAAGTATATTTGGTGTTTGAAATAACTGTAAAAAAGTGGTGAAAGATACCAAAGGGACATTCAAACTCATAAATCGAAAATAAACTGACAACACCATGGCTAAAAAAGAAAAAGACAAACAGACTGACAACAGTTAACAAAACACAACATAGAAAAGTAAAGACTGAGCAACATGAACCCCACCAAAAACTGGGGGTGATCTCAGGTGCTCCGGAAGGATTAGCAGATGCTGCTCCACATGTGGCACCCGTCGTGTTCCTCATGTAAGTACAAACCCAGTGATTAGTCTAATTCGGTAGGTCACATTCGGGGAAAAGGGGACGGGAATGTAGTTCCCACAATTTGAACATATCTGTCCTCATCTGTGAAACAGATATTCCATAACAGTCAACCAACTCGTGATGGCGTCCGTAAAATTTACCTAGGGATGATTTCAACATCACCACTTGGAACTCTTTGTTAAATAGCTTCTGTGTGAGCAGCAACCCTCTATCAAGGAAATCATAATAGAAAATACAAGCCCTGGAATATCCTATCAACTGGAAGATATATACTCTGTATGCAGGCACTTTATTTGGTGTATATATGGAATGATTTTAAGGTGTACATATAAAAAAAAAAGATGTGGTATGATTGCCAATGAGACAACTCTCCATCTATTGAAGATTAGTACACTAGAAAAGTTAACATTATATATTAAGGGAAAATACAACATCACCTTAAGATTCTCTATAATGGACAATTAGAAATTAAGAAATAAAAACAACAAACACAACACACTGTGCTCATATATTTAACAATAGAAACTTTTGCTACGGGCTTCTTTTTTTTATGAAAGTGCCACTAACATTTATCTTAATGTTAAAAGATTAAAGGAAAAGCAAGAACAAAGGAAAATACAATTTGTCTTTTCAGATCTTCACAAACTGACAATTATAGTCATATTATTAGAAAATAAGAAAAACAAACAAACACAATCATTAAGCTCATATATTTTTTAGAATAGAAACAAGTGCTAAATCCTTTTCTATGACAACAAAATGAAAAAAACTAAAATTTGTACTAGAGGATGCATATGTCAGTTAGACAAACACACACAGATTATTGTATATATATATGCACATCCCAGCACTTCTGTTTCGCTGACATTCTCTGTACTTACAACAAATTCAAACAATTGCATTGTTTTAATAATATACTGGTATTATTTTTTTCATATTTTTCTATTTTTACTCCATTTATATATTACATATATATATATATATCTAAATAGGCGATTAAGGGTGTAGGTAGGGGTGATTTCTCATTCAATGACAGAAGTGTTTTTTTTTTCTCGTCAGGGAAGGAGGAATCACTAAATACCAGTATGTCTTTGGAAATTTATTTGGAAAAATTAACGCAACTTGCCGTTATGGAAAAGGAAAAACTACAATCAATCCTTACTTAAGGATTCTTTATTTGCTACATCAATCGTGGGAGACGTCCTTACATTGGTAGCATTTAACTAGCACATGTCTTGTTTTATGTTTCTAAATATACTTTTTTTTATATAAGCATATCACAGACGACACAAAGGTGAACAACTAGATGAAATTTCTAAACAATTTTATGATACCTATCAATTAATAATGTGCATTTCATTAGGAAGTATAATTTGCTTTTTTTTCTCTCTCATTTTCCTATTACATGTACCTTCTGTTATATGTTTTTTTTTTTCTCTCTCTACATATAAATACTTTATTGTAACACAGTCAACCATATTGTCAAAGTTTTATATAAATCTCGCCAAAACGTAATACTAAAAATGAATTCAGGAATGAAAGTATATATACATAATATTTATGTTATATGAATTTAAGGCGCAATTACTACATAAGTAAGCCGCCTACCAAAACCAATAACAACAACAACAACAACTCTCCACATGTCTGTCTGGCAGAGTTCATATTACCTTGTGATGACATCATTTTTATGGTTTGTTGGTCATTGTTAAGAATTTTTGGTTTGATCTGTTTATCAGGTACTTTTAGCGATAGGACCACTATAATTGGTGTATGGAATGATTGTTATATGTAAATGTTTGTCTGGCATGGTTTATCTGACTGTGACTTCATTTTTATGGATCATTGATAATGTTAAGTTTATGTGATACTTGTAGTAAAACCTTTATATTACAGATTTTCAACATGAATTCAATCATAAGTAAAACAGGCGAGACATTACAGTGTTTGCACTCTGTTTTTTTTGTCAATGATTCTGTTTTAGTGACTGACTTTGTATTGCATATCTTCTTTAGTTAATGAAAAAAGTACAGTGTCTATTGAATGTTATTTATTTATTAAGATTGAAAACAGTTTTGCTCGCCAAAACAATAACATTATAAAACTTAAAAGAGTACAGTTAATTAACCTAAATTATACATACATTTGTATTTCTATAAAAAATGAAATATGTAACCTTTTAACAAGTTGCATATTACTTAAGAAAATTAAGATAGCAAGTATAAAAGTAGCAAGTTCACATTTTCGCAATTAATAAATATTTATCAGCAATTATAAGTAAACACCATTAGTAAAAAAAACCCAGACAATCAGTACTAGTACCATGACCAAAAAGAGACAAACCATAAAAGTACACAGGAACCACCTTAGTAAATGAAAAAAAGATTTTAACAGATAATTGATCAATTGTATAAACCATGACAGATAATGTAGAGGGCTTAGAAATGTTTTTCATCATTGGAAAATATATTATAGCACAATAACTATGAATGAATTTATCATTTAAATGCACTTTTATTTATCTGTAGATTTTTTTAATAAAGTTTCATATATCCTGGAGAAAACAATATTCTAACTCATTGTTGATGTAATATCTGTCCCCTCAGTTCTGTGAGGGTTATATAGAAATAATAGATTCTAATGGGGACCAAAAAAGAAGGTGTTTAAACTTTTAACTTTTAAAACTCATTGTATTCAAAATTTATGAATTAACTTTACACTTTTGGAACAGAAGAACAACAAGTGTTATAGGGAAATAATTCTAATTGTTGTACATTTTCCTGGAATATTCTTGAACTCATTATTGTTTATATTATAAAGTACTCATCAACAATATTTTCTATAATAACAATCATAATCATTGAAGTTTAAAGTGTTGAATTTACAATTTTTGTAGCTTCCTGTAAGAATATCAGACTTATTATGGTTTTTATACGCCCGTTTACGGGACGTATTATGGTATACCATTGTCCGTCTGTCCGTCCGTCCGTCCGTCTGTCTGTCCGTCCGTCCGTCTATCCGTCGTCAACATGTCGGACATTAACTCAAAAATGCTTTAACCAATTTGCATAAAACTTTGGTGAATTGTTTATATCTATTGACGTGAGCTCCCTTTGGTTTTTTTATAAAATTTAGATTTTACGTTTCCGAGTTATGGGGTTTTATTTATTAAAAAAGGGGGATTTTCCAGTTTTCGGACAATAAGTCAAGAATGCTTTCACCAACTTGCAAGAAATTGTGGTGAATTGTTTATATCTATTGACATGAGCTCCCTTTTGATTTTTATAAATTTTAGATGCTACGTTTCCGAGTTATAGGGTTTTATTCATAAAAAAAGGGCGGATTTTCCAGTTTTCGGACAAAAACTCAAAAATGCTTACAGCAATTCTTATGAAACTTTGGTGAATTGTTTGTATGTATTGATGTAAGCTCCCTTTAGAATTTTATAAATTTTACATTTTACATTTCTGAGTTATGGGGTTTTATTCATTAAAAAAAGGGGTGATTTTCCAGTTTTCGGACAATAACTCAAAAATGCTGTCACCAATTCTCATGAAACTTTGGTGAATTGTTTATATCTATTGATGTAAGCTCCCTTTTTATTTTCATAAATTTCTAATATGACATTGAGAATTAATTGTACTTTATTTGTTTATAGTCTGACAACAGATTTACTAAGTATTGCACAACAGCAAGAAATCTTTAATTGAATATAAATTCAATTCATATAACCAATTTTAAGTTCTTTGACTACATTTATTCAGAAACCTATAATATGTCAAATATTTAATTACAATCCAAATTCAGACCTGAATCAAGTTTGAATATTGTGTCCATTTTTGCCCCAACTGTTCAGGGTTGGACCTCAGCAGGCGTACCTTGCTGCGCTCAGCGAAGCAGTTTATTTAGGTGTTTACATGGTAACTATATGTAGGTAAAATGAAACATGAAACAAATAATTGATTTTGAAAACAAATGTTTTTGATATACTTTGTACTACTATGTTCCAATCTTGTTCTATTGGGTTTATCATACAAATAGGATTTACTTATAACTTGTCCATGATGAAAAATTTATATGCAAAATACTTCAAAGTCATATGAAACGAGTTTCTTGTAATTTTAATGTTATCGAAATTATTGAACCAATGCATGCAAATATCCTAAACTAAGTCCTGTATGCACGTTTTTTTTTATATTTATTACAAATCTATAATGTATTTACCGACAAATGAGGAGCATGTGACAAAAAAGTGAATTGATAGAGCCATGATTTCTTTTTTTATGTTTTCCATGCATTCTCATTTGTTAATTAAACTTTTCCTTAACAGTTGTTAAATGATTTGTTGTATTAAATTTGTTCTTTAAGAATCAGTAATTACTATTTCCCTTCCAGTGCATGTTTGTTTACATTCTTTCATCACGTTTTCCCCTCGCACTTGTGCTGTGCAGTGGCTGAAGTTCTAATGAGAAGTCTTGTAGTCAAGGTCACTACATATGAGAATATGTCAGCAAATAAGTGTACGGGAAGACAATAATTCAATAGCAGTACATTTATTATAAAGAGTTTACTTTTACAAGAAAGTTCACATACATTTGTTTTAAAGTAAACTTAGCCATTCAAGTACATAACACATATTCAACTGTATTTATAAATTTGAAGTTTCATATGACTTTTTAAAAGGTTATTTTTGATGCTCTGGCTTTCGAAATCATGATATACCATACTGAGGTATTGTGATTCTTGAAAATACAAGACAAAGTAATATAAATCTGGGACCATTAATAATTGTGAATGTATTTTGTATTTTAGTTGTTAAAGATATAAAGATATCTGTTATTTAAATGGTTTTAAAGTAAAAAGGAGTAAAAGTTGTTGTATTGAATGTATTTTTACATTTGATGATGTTATATATGTGATATAAACTTCTCAACATTATATTTTTCTGTAAAAACTGTTTCTCTTGTTATTTGTCTTTATTTCAGTGTTTCCTCATTAGAAAACCATTGAAGGGAACATACTGATAACAATATAGAAGATAAGGTGTGGTTTGATTGCCAATGAATTAACTAACCAAATGACATAGACATAGGTTCAGAGTATGACCTTTAACAATGAGCCAAACCCATACCATATAGTAAGCTATAAAAGACAACCAAAAAGATCTATAACAATACTTTTTGATAACAAATCTGATTTATTCCACAGCCAAACCATGTTCGCATACTCGTTCGCTATGCCCGTGTCTGTAGTGACGTTTTGGATTTCAATGAGCTTAATCTATGTATTACTGGCAAATTATTAAGTCAGGGATTTCGTTACCACAAATTAATTAAAACCTTTACTAAATTCTTCCATATATACAATATATATGTAACAGTACAACATAAGAACAAACTTAAAAGTCAGATGAAAAGGGCTTAACTCATCAGATGGATACAAAACAGAAAAACATCTAACAAAAACACAGAGTGGACGTGGCAGGGTACTTATACATCCCCACAATAAAAAGACACTTAAGTACAGATCTGAGAGTACTCCCAGTTACTGACAGCTAGTTCAAAGCCAATAAAAACTAATAAAAAAAAATCATACATCTCTTGAAGACCAAAATATCAATCAGTATACATCCAACATCCAATGGATTTAGTGTAAAGACGTCATTAACTCCAAGATGTTGGATGTGTACTGATTGATATTTCAGTCTAAGATCCGTGATTTTCTATAAGGTGTTATTGGCTTTGAACTGGAACTATTATACTACATTAGTATAATAGTCCCAGGCTTTGTACTAGCTGTCAGTAACTGTGAGTACTCTCAGATCTTTGCCTAGTGTCTTTTTTTGTGAGATGTATAGATACGCTGCCACGTCCGGTCTGTGTTTTTAGTTAGATGTTTTCTGCTTTGTATCTATCGGATGAATTTAGCCTTTTTTAACTGATTTTTATAATTTGTTGTACTGTTACACCACTGTCCCAGGTTAGAGAGTATTTGGCACCAGTAAACAAGTTTGACCCCTCCAATGTCCACATTCTATATGCGCCTTTTCCAAGTCAGGAACCTGTAGTTCAGTAGTTGTTATTGGTTCATGTTTGTCATATTTTTTTTCGTAAATTGTTTTGTTATAAATTAGGCCGTTAGTTTTCTCAATTGAATTGTTTCACATTTTTCATGTCGGTGCCTTTTATAGCCGACTATACAATATGGGTTTTTCTCATTGTTAAAGGCCGTACAGTTGCATATAATTGCTTACATCCACTTCATTTGAACTTTGGGGATAGTTCTCTCATTGGCAATCATACCACACCTCGGATTCTCCTTATTTTTACATGCATATACTTTATCACAGGAATATCAGATTTATAAACAAGAAAGGGCAAAATCATTTTTGAAATATTATCTTCTATAGGACTGAAGCGTTACATGTCCTTTGTAGATGAATATTGATAGTATATGTATTGAGAACAATTAAGGGCTACCTAATTACCTAATTTTTGGTCTGTGGAATGACTGAGTAGGTGTATAACCTCGTATTTGGTTTTTAATTGGATTTTCGAAGGAAATTATCGGTTATTTAATTTAATTTGGTGATATACGGCAGGCGGACGGGCGGCTGCCAAACAGTGTCCGTTCAATAACTTGAAAACGCTTTGACGAAATACCGTAATCCTGATCAGAATGTCAGACCAAAAGGGTTTTCACTACTTTGCAGATCTTTTTATGCTATAACATGAAACAGACTGGAGTCGACTTAATGATATTTTTATTTAAATAGAAGTCAAAAGTTTGAAGTTAAAACTAAAGAAGAAAAATATTATGTCATTTTTTGGTTCAATAGGATGATGCATCTATCAAATAACACTAGACATTCACGAGTCTTTCAAACATTAGTATTCATATGTAGCTGACATATTTTCTAAAAGGGCCTAAAACTTCTTACATTTAATGCAAAACTATCTAAATGGTCTCATTTTGAGGTCTTGACACTAATATTTAGATATGATCTATAACCTTGCCCCCAAAAAAATATTTTGCCAAGAGATGTCTCATACAGAAATGGTGTTATATCATATTTTATTTTACCAAGAACTTTGTGTTAAATGGCTATTTTAGGTACAAATATGTCAATTTCGGCATGCCTTTAACCAACAGCACAATAAGAATTTCTACATTAAAGTGCCAAATTCAATCATTCTTTTCATTTATTAATATCGCCATCAATATGTGTGAAATATTTGCCACTGAACGTTAAGCTGACAAGAATCTTTTGGTCATTTATCAATAAAGTTTAGATCATTTTGAAAGCATTGATGCATTCTATTATTTTTGCAATATCAGGGACGAAATACTGGATCTTTTAATACCTCATCTCTTGTTAACTACACGTAAATTATAACAGGAATATAGTGGAATAATTAAATTAAATGCAATTCCATCGCATAATGTCTCTATATACATTCTTGTTTAATTTTTCATCAAAGCATTAAATGAAACGATCATTATCGAATACAATTATATCAAAAGACTGTCCTCAAAGTCAACTCAAAAAGAATTAATAGAGGTTTATGATGTCAAGTGAACAATCATCATAATATATGCGTGATTGAAATTCCTAACTCCTTACTCAAGGATGATAATGATCAATGTACGGAGTTTCATAGACCAGACATAGACTTGTACCTAAGCTTTGTGTACTTCACGTTTCAGAATCAGCTTTGTTGTCAAAAAATATGTCTGGTATATGGACAGATAACTGAGTTGCATAAGATCGACTTTGCACATTATTTGAATCGCGGCATAATGTAACAGACCTTTCAGACCCGAGAGTATGTTCATTTGGTCTCAATATAGTAATGTTAGACCTTGGTGAGCCTGATGATGGTGCACGAATAACCCCTGTGTCATTTATTGTTTCATATAAAAATTCTGGTGCTCTTTCTATATCTGTATCTGTTCCGTTTAGTCCATGGTTGGATCGTATCACTTTTGTTACACCTGCAACCACTAATGGTAATATGAAAATGCATACAATTGCAAACATGAAGATCATAATCCACTTGTAGATTGAAAATCCTGTAAAAATAAAGTATTTTATGGATGCAATTACTTAAAATACCAATATATAAAAAAAAAAAAAAAAAAAAATCATACGAAGTTTGACCAACAAAATGTCTTTTCCATTGATATGCATAACTTAAAACAATATAATTAAATTACAATATATAAATATTGCCAAACATTAAAAATTTTCAAGATTATTTGTCATAAATAGAATTAATAGATGACTATTTGTGTCTTTTTGTTGCTGTCTTAATGATGTAAACCCCACATCTGCTTTTGTTCATATAAAGCCTCAAATACTTAGTTATGGTTTATTCACTGATTAAAAAGTAATATACATCTTAAATAATTGACTTTGAGCCATACTTTCTGACTTTTGATAATTACTTTCTGTCATATATTCGTTTGAACCATTTATCTGTGAATATTCTGAAAGTTCAGAGATAGTCTAAGCTCAATGTCCATACAATTACTAATATACTAGACTTGCCAAAGGTGAAGTTAGTGGTGAAGGATATATGGAGAACACTTTCCAAATATGTTATAATCTACCTTACACAAATGCAGTATAGGTTGTTCTGTTTAGTTGATATATCAAATTTTAAGCGTTTTTTCTCTACGCCTATTGCAGTTCATTCAAAATTCGGACCCAATTGCAATGTATACCAATAAAACTCTGCCTGAAGGTTTAATCTCTCAAACAAACTTTCAAATTTTGACTAAAAGGCAAAAATATATAAGAAGTATTAAAAATACATGTAGATATACTAGTATTTAAAAAAGTATCAGGTCATATAATACATTTTCAAATACAGTTCGTACTGCTGGGTCTTTTCCTATTTGCCAGTGATGTCGACTTTGGTCTTCACGTGCAACCACTATTTGGTTTTTTAATTGATTTTCAAAATAAGCAAGCCTGTCATGCAACAATTAGAACCTTTAAAAAAACTTATTATAAAGAATATGACAATCGGAATACGTATTTTTTGGGAGAAAAAAAAAACTAAATTGAAAACGAAAAAAAATATATTTATTCACGTAATTTTGTCCTCATATAAGAGTTCATCTACTACTATTCAAAACTTTTTAAACAAATTTATGACAGGCTTGATAAAACGTACCTCTTATAACTAAGTTGAAAATTTTTCCATGTATTTCAGTCTCACATTTATAATCGCCTTTGTCTTGAATGTCAACGGCATTAATTTTCAAATCATACTCCCCAAGATCAGGATTTCCAGTGATTTCAAATTTCGGACTGCTTGTCTCGTTGTTCCTTTTATGATTAATTTGAAAGCCATCAAACAACACTAGCTGGGTGTCAAGAAATACCCATTGAACAGACAGGTTCTGTGATATAATTGGACACTCTAAGGTTATTGTATCACCAATGGTTGCATGGATAACTGTTTTCTCAAAATGTTCACCTGTGAATATAAACAGATTTTTAAAAGGTTTATTAAAGAGTATCTTTTTTAATATTATAAGAAACTTCAGATCTGGAAGGGTCAATATTCTTAATAAATCTTATAAGTGCAAGAATTAATCCCAAAATAAACCAACTGCACAAATTTGTGTTTAATGATTACGTAAATTCGTCTTTATATACCAATTTGCATATGTTTGTATTTTGTGCCTTTGTAAATGTTGTATCGGAAATCGGAGCAGACGGACAATTAAAAGGATATAGCAATAAAAGTGGAAGTTTTACGCAATCGGACATAGGTCAATATTGTTATTCTATGTAAATTTACAAACCAAGTTAGGAATGTTACAGGAATTATCAACATAATTGTTCTTTTTGGACGACGCATTTGATTTAGATTTCATGTATTCTTGTGTTTATTTGTATGATGTTTATTGTATGATGTTTATTGTATGTTTTTGTTCTGTTTTGGTTTTATTACTGTACCTACCCATTGCAAACAGTTTTGTTAAAACAAACACAACAGCAGTCCTCATTTTCGTGGCCTAAAAAGATAATACTAATTTGTTAAATAGATTATCAGTTATCATATTTAATGATATTTCTTAAACTATGTACCTGCTCTGTCTGGTATCATTGAGAATCCGTTCTTTCATACAGGAACAATAAATCTGGTCATATATTAGAGATAGGGTCAATTTTTCCTTAATTCTATTCGCACCAGGAATTTTGTAGTTTTCCCAATCATAACTATTTAAAAATAAGGAGATATGGTATGATTTCCAATGTTTTATTGAGGCTCTCAATCATTTCTTGAGTGCAAAAACCAATTGTATCTGCTTACCCTATCGGAGCACCTGAGATAACCACCGGTTTTTCCAATGTGACAATTATCCACCAGAGTTCAAATGACATGGATGAAAGCAATAATAGGCAACGATACGGCCTTCAACAAGGAGAAAACCCATGTCGTATAATCGGCTATAAAAGGGCCGGACATGAAAAATGTGAACGGGTTCGTGTTGCTCAGTCTTTAGTTTTCTATGTTGTGTTTTGTGTACTGTTGTTTGTCTTTTTGTCTTTATTTTTGCCATGTCGTTGTCACTTTATTTTCGACTTATGAGTTTGAATATCCCTTTGATATATCTCCCCTCGCTTTTAGATAAATAACATACTTTTGGCAAACCTTTCAATTCCGTTCAACTCTTCTTTACAATTGTTAGACATAACGAACTTACTAAATCAAATGATCTGGATATATTATAGTCTCCTTACCTTTGTTTTGATGCCAAATTCAATACAAGTCGTTATAAATCATACTTTAAAGTACTGTTACCTATATAAAAGATTTTTCCTTGAAAAATAAAGACGTACTTATGTTGTTACATTGCAGATACTTACCCAAATACAATGATTAAAACATCAAACGAAAAATGAACATTACCCTTTTCTTGGTGTATAGATTTCTTTTTACAGAAAACAACATGCTTTTTCAACTTCGTACTTGATTTGGCATTTTCACTTTTTTTGTTCGAGCGTCATTGATAAGTCTTGTAGTAGACGAAACGCGCGTCCAGCGTACAACATAATAAGCCTGGTATCTTTGATGAGTTTTGTATACTAAAACAGACGTCAAAAGAGACGAATTTTTGCTTTACAAAATAGCATGTTCATGTAGCCCAGTTATTCGATGCGCAAACGTCCGTTTTTTTTAATACTTACGTGTTTGATTCAAATGACCGAATGCATGATTACTAAAACCTTTACTAATATTATTTCATCAAAACAGAGATTTTAAGAAAAACATTGTATTTCATGCAATTTTTTTAATGTTTTATACTATTTATACTTATTTATCGCAAAAAATGCATTGTTTATTGAACCACTTTTTTGGTTTATTGTTATGGCGATGCGGTTTTTCATCTACTGATGAGTTGTGAATGTCTCCTTCCGCCATTTATTTCTAATAACTTACTTATGAATCAAAGTACTGACGTGCTTTATACTCGGATTAACCTAAGATCTGATGGCTGGCGAATATATCAAAAATGTTCTATCTCCATGTAGACTACTAGCATATGCTTTTTCAAGTCAAATATCAAACATTTAAGCCACATTTAAGACGTTAACAATTGTCTAGGTTCTGTAGACATAGAGGGTCGAAAGGGATAACAAAAACGTTAAATGGGTTTTGCACTGTCTAAAGACTGGATAATGCATTTAACGTTTCGACCAGACATGACTGCGTTTAGAACGGACACCTTCCCCAATAAAAGACTGGAGAAGTTTAAGCGACTATAATTCTCTACTCATGGGATTCTTGCTTGTGTAAATAGTTTATATGAAAATAAGGAGATGTGGTATGTTGCTAATGAGAAAACTATTTTAGTCTTGGTTTTTTTTTAACAATTTGCGTTGAACAAACTTGTTGAAGTTATTTCAGTTAATAATTTTAGATTGTTGTATTTTTGTTTTGCTGTTATACATTTTTATACTGATAGTCAAAGTAATGTAGAGGGTTGAACGGTCTAAGACAAGTTAACACCAGTAACATAAGGGCGTCTGTTTTCTTTCGATTTTTCACGTGGCTTTATATTTAAAGTTATGCAAGTTTTAATCGAAAGGACACCTAAACAAAATGGTACGGTGATATTTTCATTATTATCAAAACAGCTAATCTGTGTTCACCTGAAATGAACCGTATTTTTAAAAACGCGATATTACTAACCTAATCAAATCATGTCCACCAATTCAATCTACTAAGTTTTCCATACACCAATCAACTGAATTGATTAACACACATAGTGTTTGTTCCATCTCCTAATGACACATTCAATTGACGATTTCCTCTTTATCCCGGAATTAAATGCATTAGTTGCATTGTTATTTCAAGCTTTATATTATTTCCGGTTACGACAAAATTCACAATTTTAAATAAAAACGTCCACCGATACTTCAAGCAATAGAACAAAATACCGTCATATAAAAAGGGATATTTATTACTATTTTGAATCATGCACATTTCCCGAAATAATTGAAACAAATTACGTTCAAATTGTTAGAATGTTTTCCTTAATAATTTAATGTTTTATTCGATAGATTTTAAAAAAGGGGAGGCTCCCATTGAACATAGACAATTTCGCTCGCCTATTCTACACATCTACCTGTAATAGCCTCTACATAACATGAAAGTTATTTTACCAAAAAGTATTGAAATATATCAGAAGCAAAGTCGGCCATCATCTCTTATTTTATTATAGCAGTTTAATGATTTCCTAATAACAAACACAAAGGTTATGCGATATTTTAACGTTAGCATTCCTATAATTGTAAAGAAAAGGCTGTTACAATCCTCGGGTATTTAAACGATTTTTTTTTAGAAGAGACTGTAAACACAAGCATTGAAAACAAACAGCCTCGTGTAGTTTTTGAGATATACTAAAACACAAGTTTAAAAAAAAGAGTTCACTAAAAAGGTTCTTTTGTGGTTGAGTTACGACCTCATTGGCGTTGACAATGGTATAATCTATCAAGGTTTTTTTTATAAACACTTAACGATCGTCGTTAAAAAAACTTCTATTTTACTATATACTGATAAATTAATCTAAACTGAAATTGAGTAAAAGAAAAAACCCAGGACTAATGATAACAGCGATTATAGGGGAAAGTGTCACTGTACGTGAAATTAAAGTTGCATCCTTTTAAGTTTAAACCGTATTTATATTTGAAAATAATAATAGTGGAATAGTACGATTAAATATAACAGTCAATTACGGAATTCGACAGTTTCATCAGGACACAACTGTTATAGCATCATTTTGACCGCCGTACTACAGAGAAACATGAAACAATTCTATACACAAAGCATCCATCATTATTGTTAATTCTTTCGACATTATGGATACCCCTGTCAAATATATATACTTTATTAAATTGTGTGCCTGAAGCGCTTTTCTGCATTAATATCATCTGTAACGCTCAATCCAAGAGGACTAGCTCTCAAAAAGAAAAGTTAAATATAAAAAGAAGATGTGGTATGATTGCCATTCAGACAACTCTCCACAAGAAACTAAATGACACAGAAATTAACAACTATAGGTCACTGTACGGCCTTCAACAATTAGCAAAGCCCATAGCGCATAGTCAGCTATAAAAGGCCCCGAAATAACAAATGTAAACTAATTCAAACGAGGAAACTAACGGCCTAATTTATGTATAAAACAATGAACGAAAAACAAATATGTTACACAGCAACAAACGACAACCACTGAATTACAGGCTCCTGACTTGGGACAGGCGCATACATAATGTGGTGGGGTTAAACTCGTTTGAAGGTGCCAACCCTCCTCCCCTAACCTGGGACAGTGATGTAACAGTACAAAATAAGAACAAACTATGAAATCAGTTGAAAAGGCCTTAACTCATCAGATGGAAACAAACAGAAATATATCTAACAAAAACACAGAGTGGACGTGGACAGGTACTTATACATCCCTACAACAAAAAGACACTAAGTACAGATCTGACGGTACTCGTAGTTACTGACAGCTAGGTCAAAGCCAATAACAACTAATAAAAAAAGCATGAATCTAAGACTAAATTATCAATCAGTACACATCCAACATCCAATGGATCATGGAGAAAATCATGACCTTGTGCAATGCCAAGATACAGGTATCGACAGATTGTAGAGCCATGAATGTGCATATGTATAATAAAAATAATATTTAGTTTGATTTTAATTTACTGATAACAAAATCAATATTAATACCAATAAAAACAATATTCAAAGATCTAATTACTGTGTTTAATTGGTAACCTTTTCGAATAAGTTTACCCGGATCGTTTCTAAATTTCCGGGCTAGATAAACATCATCTCCGTAAAAATGAGGATGTGCTATCCCGTTTGCAATAAGTTTTCTACATGTACAACCAAACTTTAATTTGTGGAAACGAAATTCCTGACTTAATAATTTAGCAGTAATACATAGATTACGTTCATTGAAATCCAAAACGTCCCAACAGGCACTGGCATAGCGAACGAGTTGTGATATATAAACACCGTAAGATGGTGCAAAAGTAACATTACCGTCCAAAAAAGGAAAATTAACAATAGGGAACGAAAAATCGTCCCTTTGTCGTAAATTTTAATGTAGAGTTTTCCGTGTAAAACTGCATTATCTAAATCTAGGAAAGGACAGTTATTACCGTTTACATTTGATTTATTTAAAGTAAGTTCCTTTGGATAAATTTCGGCAGTATATTTCGAAAATTCTTGATTATTTAGCGAAAAAATATCATCAAGATAACGGTAAGTGTTGTTGAATTTATCAATTAAAAGCAATTGAGACGGATCTTTACTGAGTTTGGTCATAAACTGTGATTCATAACAGTACAGGCTGATTCGGAAAAAATCAACTTAAACAGATTCATCAGGAAAAATATGCTTGATGACATTTCATTCAGGAAAATGGCAAAAAGCTATGACACCTATTGTTATTATATCAAATTATTTCATTTTTTCTCGAAACAATACAAACCTCTCTGAAATGAAAATAACACTTTTCTGGATTAATTTCATCTGGAACGATCAAACATAATCATTTTAAATCCATGGATGTATAAAAAAGATGAAACTATGAAATTGAAATATGATAGCGTATTTGCCCTGTTGTTCCGATCAGAAGTACTTGTTTTTGTACTACCAAACTTTCAGGAACCAGTGCGCTGTAAAATATTCTTGCAGACATTTCATTCAGTAAACTCATTCATTCCCCTCTGTGTTTTATTAGTTGTATTTCTGCTTTATATCGATCTGATGAGTTAATACCTTTTGATTTATAAAGTTTGTTCTTATGTTGTACTGTAACACAACTGTCCCAAGTTAGGGGGAGCAAACATGTTTAACCCCGCCACATTCTGTATGTGCCTTTCTCAAGTCAGGAACCTGTAAGTCAATGGTTGTCGTGTGTTGCTATTAGCATATTCGTTTTTCGTTCATTGTTTTGTACATAAATCAGGCCGTTAGTTTTCTCGTTTGAATTGTTTTACATTTGTCATTTCGGGGCCTTTTATAGCTGACTATGTGGTATGGGTTTTGCTTATTGTTGAAGGCCGTACGGTGACCTATATTTGTTTGGTCTCTGGTGGATAGTTGTCTAATTGGCAATCATACCACATCTTCTTTTTTAATATATACGGTATGGGTTTTTCTCATAGTTGAAGGACGTACGGTTGCATATAATTTCTTACATCCACTTTTATGAACTTTGGTGGATAGTTGTCTCATTGGCAATCATACCACATCTCCTTATTTTTATATGGAAAAAGCTATGAGATCTTTTTTTTTTCTTTTTTATCAATTTCTTTATTGATATATACAGTTGAATTTAGTCATATATTTTTCTTAAATTCTTGACACAAAATCCTTTTTGTTGTGCACTTTTCAACAATGCAACGAAAAAATACCTTCAGGATAACGTCTAATTACTATGAACTATTATGTATGATACATGCACAGCAGGAGACGCTTACACTGTCGACCCTCCTTTTACAGTTCATACAATTCCCTCAGTTGTTGTAAGTAGCTTTGATTTGTGTTCTTAATCGACTTATGAGATTTGAACATTGGTAACCTACAGTTTTCTTAATCTATTGTGGAAGGAATGTTAAAAATGTAACATGTCTCCTACGTTCTGTTCAAGAATCATATCGTTACTTTTATATGAAAACAAATAATATATCAAATAATCAAAACACCGGGTTGCGCAGAATGATTCTTTAACAGTGGAGAATACTCTATACTGAAAATTTAAACATTCGAAAAAAAGAAAAATTCAAATGGGAGAAAAAAATCTTTAAACAACTGCGTAATGTAAGGTGCACAACTTCGTTTTGTGTTATATACAAAAACTGTAACTATCCTTTGAAGATTTTGCTGAAGAAATGACTAAAAATTCCTAAATATTAAACATAGGAAAGAAATCCTTAAACAATTCTATAATAGCATGATTACAACTGCAGTATAAGTGCAATCATTCTGTGAAGTTTCAATGAACTATGATGATTACTAATCAGTTGATTACCCTCGTTTGTAAATTTTTCTTATACATGATTAATTTCGCAAGTCTTTAAAAATGGACATAAGTTCTTCAAACAATTCCATATTAGCAGATCTGTGGGTTAAAGAGATCTTGTTAAAAACTGTAGGAGGAGTTGATTACAAAAAATAGTAACCAACTTTTCCCTCTCACCTGATCTACATCACCGTACAATTGGCCAGTTTTGGTATTTGTCCAACCAGGGCAAAACAAAAATGTAAGCATCATACTTATAAAACCAAATTACAGGTTAATTAACTTTAAACTAATTTTTAATTGTGCAGCTTTTTGTGTTGAAAACATTATTTGAAGCCTACTAAGTGCCTTTTACACACAGATGCAATTTGAAGTTTTGTTCTTCATGTTTGATATATCATTCTTCAGTCAAGGCCTATTCGATTTGTAAGGCAAAACAATAGAGCCCATGAGTTAAGTCTTGGGATAATGAAGGACAAACTTATTTTCTGTATATTATTGTAATTCCCCAGAATGGTACGGATATCATAAACCGTTCCTTTTACGAACTTATAACCTCTTTGTCTATTATATCAGATGCCCTTATTCAAATGCTATTAAAAACAAATGCTGATAAAAGTATTCTCAAATTTTATTTTACAAACTTGTCTTAGTCACGTTTATGTTATTTCTCGCTTTTGAGGTCAAAGTACAAAGATTCAAGTTAATTTGAATTGTTTATGTAATAGTTAGCTATCCATAGATATAACCTCTGTGATTAATTTCCTAAGACAAAATATTAAATTATTAAAATTATATTTTCTGTTTGTTAGTTTAAAATATATCTTCTTGTTCAAAAATAATTAATGGGTCAACACACGTTTTACAAGTTAGTAACGTCAGGT